ATTCTAATTCAAGTGTGTTTGTTACAGTTTTTTCGATAACATCCGGATCGTTTCACGCCTCGGATGTTACGCCGAGAGACAACAAACAGCGGTTAGAACGAACGTATCGAGAAATTATTTGCAAAATTATCTCGGTAATAAAATATATTTCTACACACACAGTCGTCGCGGTGCATCTTATCAAAAAACGAGCCTCGCATTCATCATCACCATCATCATCATCATCATCATCACCATCATCATCATCATCACCATCATCATTATCAATCATCATGATCAATATCGGGATTATAGTATAAAATTGGTCGACATGGCTTTGCGAATACAAATAAGAGAATGAACGGTCCGATGATATGTCTAAGAATGACGAACGTTGATATCGAGCCGTGTGTTCCTCATTGTACTTTTTTCGAGCTAGCGATTAACGGTAAAACGTTCGATAGGCGATTATCGTCACTGGTCGAAGGAAAGGACAAAACACGTTTCTAAAGACACGAGAACACGAGATACGATCGAATCGAACAACGAAAAACGAGAGATACGATACGAGAAAGAAATTCGGGTCGCGCGACTATGCTTTACACACGATATACAGAGTGGAAAGACAGTTGAATATATAAACCGATAACGATCGATCGAACGATAGCCAGAACCGATCGAATCGTTCGAACGATTCGAAACGATTCTTCCAAACAGGGAATAATAATAATAATAATAATAATAAAAATAAAAAATAATAATAATAGTAATAGTAATAAAAATAATAATAATAACAGTAATAATAAAAATAATAATAATAGTAATAATAATAGTAATAATAATAGTAATAATAATAATAATAATAGTAATAGTAATAATAATAATAATAGTAATAGTAATAATAATAGTAATAATAATAATAATAATAATAATAATAATAATAATAATAATAATAATAATAATAATAATAATAATAATAATAATAATAATAATAATAATAGAGAGAGAGAGGGTTTTTCGCTACTTTCGTCTCCTCGCATACTGTGCACCATTCCTAATCACATTGTTCGCTCTAAAATACGCTAAAATAGTACAGGTTAACGTTACACGTCGTCGTTCCGAGGTGTTTGTTTATATTATTATTATTATCATATAGAATCTCTGTGTTTCGCATACGCCTCGGTGATCACAACGCGAATGGCAAAAGGAGGAGCCGGAGAGCCAGAATTTGAGCGGGATAGCGGGAGGCCCGGACTTTTCGTTCACAGCCTGACCGAGCCCCACCACCAATGGGCTCCAACTTTTGCGCGACCCAACCCCCGCAAACATCACGTTTGATTCCAAGCCCATTATTAGATCTACGGATGACGACACGTCGTAGGAATAACAGCGTTTTCTTTTTTTTTCTTCCTCTTCTTCTTCTTCTTCTTCTTCTTCTTCCTCTTCTTCTTCTTCTTCTTTTTCTTTCGTGTCTTTCTATAGAATTGTTGCATTTCCAGCTTAAAAAATAACGAAGAGCAGGCCAAAGATCACGCGTCTGACGTGTGAGAAGGAACATAAAAACGTTAAAAGGACCTTGAACGTGCCTTATTACAAATATATCTATATACGGTCATATACAATCGTCGACGGTAGGACAAGGCACTTGTATCTTTTCGAATTCTCGATAGAAGACTAATCATCTCGTTCGCAACAAACTATTTACCCATTTATTCGCTATTTTTCCGCTCATCGATCCCACGATTTCGAATATATTTTTTTCATCGCTTTTGAACACGAACGAATTTCCGATTCGATTATCGCGGATATAAAAATCGGAACGAAATTTGCGTGGCAACGATACTCGTTGTTGGGATAAAACGCGATTTTTCAACGCGCGAAGAAAAGTTCATCGTATTATCGTCGTCGTCGTCGTCGTCGTCGTCGTTTCAACACCTTGCCCGTTCGAAGAAATACGCATCGAAAAAATACGGGTGCTCTGTCGTATCGTCGCACAGAAATAGATTACATTCTCGCCGAATAGGGTAAAATTGTACACATCGAAGATGGTGGGAAACAAATCTATACAAATATCCGAGTCCCCGTCGATTCGTCGTCGAGCTCGAACAGGATGATTCTCGTCTCGTTGGCATCGTACAGAGATCACGCGGTTTTCACATTGTGGTCACGACAACATACCCGTGTATTCAGGTACGCGCGCTCGAATTCGAGAGAGGGGAAGGGAGAGAGAGAGAAAGAGAGAGTTGAAGAGAGAGGAGAAAGAGAGAGAGAGAGAGAGAGAAGAGAACCAATCGATAAACGTTCTTCTTCTTCTTCTTCTCTTTTCGTCTTCTTCGTCTTCGTCTTATTCCTCTTCTTCTTCTTCTTCTTCTTCTTCTTCTCTCTTCGTTTATTTTTTTTTTTATTTTACATCGTGTTATAAACCGGACTGCTGTGCCTAGGCCTGACCTGCAGCCTGGCGAGAGGATGCGTCCTGCCGTGTTGTTGTTGTTGTTTCTTGCTACCCGTGGACCCGGTTCCCGCGGATGGGACCGGTGGCCTGCCTGGTGCTTCCGGCGCCGTTTCACCGAACAACGGTGACGACGAGGAGGACGAGGACGAGGACGAATGATTATTGATCAGGATCGGTGCCGATCTTCTGCTATACTCGGCCGTGATTCTCGACGACTTGCCGTGTCGTTGTTGTTGTTGTTGTTGTTGTTGTTGCGATTGCTGCGAATCGATCGACTCCCAATCCTTGTCTCTGTGCATCCGCAATTGGATCTCGGTCGATTTTCTCGAATCTGATTTACCGACCTCGTATTTACCGACCAGAACCCTTACCGACCGGTCTTCCGAATTCTCCTGCTGCGTATCCGCGCTCTCTTTCCCTCCTCCTCCTCCTCCTCCTCTTGTCCCCTTCTCCTTCTCTTTGGTTTCGGGCGGAGCCTGAATCTTGGATTCGTCGTGCGGGATAACAGGTGACGAGGGCAAGCTTCGAATCTTCGCGTCCCTTTTCGCGCCTCGACCACCACCGCCGCTACTACCACCACCACTACTACTACTACTACTACTACCACTACCACTACCACCACCACCACCACCACCACTACCACCACTACCGCAATTGCTACCACTACTACCACCGATCACGACCATCGACGACGACGAGGACGAGGACGACGGATACGATACGATCGGGGAGGAATCGTTCTCGAAACTGTTGCCGCTCTCCGGACTCTTCTCCAATTTGCTCGATTTCGCCTCGAACTCCTTCTTCAGATTCTTCACGAGGCCGGAGATGGTGGTCGTCGCGGTGGGGACGGCGGTGGTGACGGCGATGGCCGCGACGTTGGCAGGATTGGTTCGCGGGTACTCGGTGGTCTCGACGGGCGAGTCGTCGACGGACAGGCAACGTTGTTTGTTGAACATCGACTTCTGGTGACTATTGGTGCTAGTGTTGGTGTTGTTGTTGTTGCTGTTCAGATTCTCGAGAACCATCTTGTGATGCTTGACGGAAGGGCATTGAGTGGTGTTGACCACGCAGGGGCTCGACGACGTCTCGCTCTCCGATCTGCACGATCTCAACGACGAGGGTAGATCCGAGTCCGAGGAGAGGGAGGAAGGTGCCGGGGCGCTGGTCGACAATCTTCCAACTTGACGGATCATCGAAGAGGAGGAGGAGGAGGAGGAGGAGGAGGAGGAGGACGAAGGCGAGATATCGATCCCCCTCGCGGGGCTGGGACAATTTCTAACTACGACCAACGGGTCCACCATAATCTTCGAGTTGGTTCGATGATTATTGCCGTTGTTATAACCGGGCGAGGAATCCCTTCTGCGGGGAGGCGTCGGGGACGCCGCGTGATGCAAAAGTACAGGAGGATTGTACGATTCCTCCTCGGCCCCGTCCGAATTTTGCGTGCACACGCGTTTCACGCTGCTCGACGACGCGTTACCCTCCTCGAGCTTCTGCTTCGTACGTTTCACGGTACCCGGATGCCAAGGTATATCCTCCTTGTCGTACGGGAAGAGGCCGCTGGAGCCGAGGAGGTCGGACGGCCGCATGTCGTACGAGCCCCACGAGCTGTTCCTCGATGGTAACGTGGCCCAGGAACTGTGCACCGAGTTGTTGTTCTCGAGGACCACGGCGCTGTCGTAACTGCTCCAGGAGCTCTGCCTGCTCGGCGAGTCCCTCGTCGTCGTCGTCGCCGCCGCCGTTACACCGCTCGCCTGCTCCCCTTGCCTCTCCTCCCGCTCGAACACTCGATCCACGTGCGCGCTGAACGGATCCCCACCTTCTCTCTTGCTCCTTCGCGGCAACGTCGTCGTCGTAGTAGCGGTACTCGTCGTCGTCGTCGTCACGATACATTCGCTCGCTTCTCCGTTCGTCTTAACGTCACCACTACCACCACCACCATCGTCACCACTACCACCACTACCACCAACACTACCGTCGGTCCAGACTAGACACTCGCCGTTGTTTCCTCGATTCTCGTCCGTTCTTCTCCTCGAGTCTCGAGAATGATCCCACGCCGCGGCGTGGTTTTGCTTCGCGTTTACCGTTATCGACGTTTCCGACGATGACGACGACGACGACGACGAAGAGGAAGACGAAGACGAAGATAAGGAGGATATATTTTGCTGGGCCACGAAGCCGTTCTCGTTCACGGAAGCGGTACTCGATGCGTGAGTAGTTGCCTTCCGTACCGGCTGCTCCTCCGGATCCGAGCTCGGCGAGGACGGTTTGCTGCTCACCGCCTCGAACTGATTGGTCAGATTCAACACCAGCCCTTTCCTCCGCTGCCCGCTCCGCTGCTCTGACTCGAGCTCGTTTACCCGGTCCTTCACGTTCCTGCCAGCCCCCCCCGTCGCCCTGTCCGGGACCGGGAGTGGGGGCGGAGGGAGGGGCCCCGGCAGGTGGACGATCTTGTTCTGCGACACGCTGTACGATTGCCCGTTGTCGCACGGCATCAAAACGTTCCTCCCCTCCTGCGACCCCGCCGCGCCACCTTTCCGACCCCCACCCATCCTCGACCGAAGAAGATCCTCCCTGGTCACCTCCGCGCTCCCTCCTCCCGCCTTGTCGATGCTCTCCAGCGACTGCGAGAGAGGAACTGCGAACAAACGAACAGGGATAGAGATACACGCGTACTACACACACATGTGTATACAAAGGTATACGCAAACACGTATAGCATCGAGCAGCGGATCGTTGTTTGTAATTTTTGAACGACAAGAGCAACGTACGTACCAGAGGGCAGCATGGTCTCGGAAATTTTCACGTTCGGCGACCAACTTTTCGGCCTTTGCCCGCTCTTTTTCAACTCGGATCCCGAGAACTCGACACCCCGCAACCCGTCCTCCTCCTCGCCCGGGTTCCCGGATTTCTCCTCCTTCTTCAACGTTCGACCGTCCTTGGGCGAGGTGGGCGATTTCAAGTTGGTGTCCGACTTGGATCTCTGGAGCTTCTCCTTGTTCTTCATCGCGTCCAATATACCCTGATACGTCTCCAATTGAAGGAGGAAGCTGTTGTTCGGTTTGATGCAGTTCCGCTTCTCCTTCACGTGTTTCCACGCCTGGGAAAAATCCCAATTGTACGCCTTCATCGCGTACGCGATCACGACCGAGGCAGACCTCGACACCCCCATCTTGCAATGGACCAACACCTTCGACCCCTCCTTCTTCGCCTTCGTGATGTATTTGAACGTGTCGTCCCAATGCTTCAACAGGTCCGTCTTCTCGTCGTCGTACACGCGCACGTTCAAATACGTGAACATCCCGGGGAAAAAATTGTCGATCTCCCGTGTCACGTTCAATATGTGCCTCACCCTGGGGGCAACAATCCATCCACCAGTTTTCTTTTCTTTTCTTTCTTTTCCATATTATAATAATAATAATAATAATAATAATGTAGGTAAAACAGGAGGAGGGGGAGGGGGGAGGGGAGGGGGGAACGAAGAACTTACCGTTCTTCTGGAGCTCCTCCAAGTTGCTCGCGTTCCACTCGCTCCCCAGGTAAACGTGGTCGAATATCTCGGTCGGGGCGTCCATCTGGCCGAGAATGGTGAGCATCTCCTGATCGATGAACGGTTTAAACTCACCGAGATCCATGTCGAGGTCCTCCTCGAGACGGCCTCGAATATACTTGGAGGTAACCTCGTCCAGATCCACGGACATCATGATCTCCTTCAACGTCGATCGGATCACCCGCTCGGTCTCGTCCCTTTCTCTGGGTCTGCCGTGCGTTACAACAAACGAACGTTAATCGCGAATAATTTTTTTGTCCCGAAACTGTTCTATCGTTGTTCCCTCTATTCGCGAGCGTATAAAGCCGTTTGTTTGGCAAACGGCCAAGTTAAATTCCCACCGAAACCCAGCTGTTCTCCGTTTCCGGACCGATCCTCCCGATATCCAACGTGTTTACGAATAGCGAGAGAGAAGAGAAAAACATGGACACGTGTCGTTTAATTGCGAATATTCTTCTCCTTTTTGCCATATATATATTTAAGTATTTCACTAAGTCATTAAAAGTATATATATATGAGAAAGGAAGGAAATAAAAGCCAGAAAATAAAATTAATATATATATATATATATATATTAAGTTATTTTAACGTGTTTACGAATAGCGAATAGAGAAAAAGATGGACACGTGTCGTTTAATCGGAATACTCTTCTCCTTTTTGCCATATATATGAGGCACTTCAATAAGTAATTACTTAAACTAACTCTATATATATGTATTCAAGTTATTACTTACTTATTGAAATGCATAAATAAATAATTTATTCGTAGCTATTAGTCGATCCGTGTAATGATCTCGGCATTATATTCGATTGTTGTTATTATTATTAAATACGTTTCGAGCGATAAATTATGGAAGCGAGTTTTACCACTCGAAAAGCGTTAAATTTTGGCAGATATAAGGGCTTACTTGGTGCGTACGCTGTCCGGCGACGGTGGTCTCCGAGATTCCAAGTTGTCCATAGCATGCCACTCGTTGAGACACGAGCGATCGCTCTCGATTCGTTGCTCATAGTAACTGACCCAGTCGTGCGACAGCCCACCTAGGAAGTAGTTTTGCTCGCGCGCCTTGCTCGACACTTTGTGCAACGTCTGCAAGGCCGACCTGTACACAATTTTCGCACCACGTTTCAAAATTCCATTCCAGCACGTGTTCCCCGAGTGCGAGTAAATAAATATATGTCGTCGTTTACGTTTATTTTTATCGCGACCACGAGTTTTTTTTGAAGAGAGAGAGAGAGAGAGAGAGAGAGAGAGAGAGAGAGAGAGAGAGAGAGAGAGAGAGAGAGAGAGAGAGAGAGAGAGAGAGAGAGAGAGAGAGAGAGAGGAGAGTAGTAGTAGTAGTAGT